CCCCCAAACATCCTCAAAAATTACCCCGAAACACCCCAAAAATAACCCCAAACATCCCCAAAAATTACCCCAAAACACCCCAAAAATAACCCCAAAAATTACCCCAAAACACCCCAAAAATAACCCCAAAATATCCCCCAAACATCCCCAAAAATTACCCCAAAACACCCAAAACCAGACCCGAAATATCCTTAAAAATTACCCCAAAACACCCAAAACCAGTCCCAAAATATCCCCCAAACATCCCCAAAATTTCCCCAAAACCTCCCCTAAAATACCCCAAAATATCCCCAAAAATAACCCTGAAATATCCCCAAAACGTCCCCTAAAATATTCAAAAATATTCTCAAAACATTGCCCAAAAAATTCCCCAAAATCGCCCACAAACGTCCCCAAAATTCCCCCCAAAATACCCCAAAACATCGCCCAAAAATACCCTCAAATATACCCCAAATTATCCCCAAAAAAATCCCCAAAACATCCCCCAAAATTCCCCCTAAATCCTCCAAAACTTCACCCAAATTTCCCCAAAATTCATCTAAAACATCCCCCAAAATATTCCCCAAAATTGTCCCTAAATCCCCCAAATTATCCCCAAAAAATACCCTTAAATCCCCCCAAAAATTCCCTCTAAACCTCCCCAAAAAAAACCCCAAAATTCCCCTTCAGATCCCAAAATTCCCAAACCCCCCCACCCCCAAAATTCCCGAAAATCTCCAAAATTCCCAAAAAACCCCAAAATTGCCCAAACTGCCCCAAATTCTCACCTTCCAGCAGGTCCAGGGCTGATCCCACACAGAACTCCATGGCCAGCTGGGGGAGGGGCAGGTTGGGGACCCCAAAAATCCCCCAAAATTATCCCAAAAATACCCAAAAATGCCCCCCAAAATCCCCAACAAATTATCCCAAAAAATTCCCCCAAAATTATCCAAAAAATACCCCAAAATCCCCAACAAATTATCCCAAAATTCCCCCCCAAAATCCCAAAAAATTCCCCCAAAATTATCCAAAAAATACCCCAAAATCCCCAAAAATCCCTCAAAATTATCCTAAAAATACTCCCAAAAATCCCGAAATTGCGCCCCAAATTACCCTAAAATCCCACAAAATCATCCCAAAATCTCCCAAATTCCCAAAAATTCCCTCAGAATTATCCTAGAAATTCCCCAAAATTCCCCCTCAAATTATCCTAAAAATCCCCTAAAAATCCCCCAAAATTACCCAAATATCCCTTTATATCCCAGAAAAATTACCCAAACCCCCAAAATTTCCCCCCAAAATCCCCATTTGAAGACCCCAAATCCCCCCAAGACCCCTCCCCAAATTGGGGGACCCCTCCCCAAATTCGGGGGGCTCACCCAGGTCTTGTTTTACCACCTCTGAACCCCCAAAATCCCCCCCAAAAATGATTAAAAAGTCCCAAAAACCCCCAAAATTTCCCCAAAGCCCTGTGGGACCCCTCCCCAAATTTGGGGGACCCCTCCCCAAATTCGGGGGGCTCACCCAGGTCGTGTTTTAGCACCTCTGAACCCCAAAATTCCCTATCAAATATAATAAAAAAATCTCCAAAAAATCCCAAAACCCCCCAAAATTCCCCCAAACCCCTCTGGGACCCCTCCCCAAATTGGGGGACCCCTCCCCAAATTCGGGGGGCTCACCCAGGCCGTGTTCTCCCTCAGGTAGCACCCCCTGAACCCCACGGTGTTGGGGTGCCGGAGCCGCTGCAGCACCTTCACCTCCCTCACGATGTCCTGCCACTTCTTTGGGGCAAAACCGGCACATTTTGGGATTTTGGGGGATTTTTTGTGATTTTTTTGGAATTTTTTTGGGGGGATTTCGGGGGGTCTCACCTCGCTGGAGGCTCGACCCCGGTAGGACATTTTCTTGATGGCCACCAACTCCTGGGAGCGCAGGTCACGGGCCTGGGGGATTTTTGGGAATTTTTTGGAATTTTTAGGGGGGTTGAGGAGATTTTTGGGGAATTTTAGGAGGATTTTATGGCGGATTTGAGGGATTTTTGGGAAATTTAGGGGGATTTTATGGTGGATTTGGTGGATTTTGGGGGGATTGAATTTGAAAATTTTTGACTGGATTTTGGGGATTTGAGATAATTTTTGGGAGATTTGAGGGGATTTCTGGATGGATTTTAGGGGATTTAAGGAGATTTTTGGGAGGTTTTGGGGGATTTTTGGGTGGATTTTGGGGCTTTCCGCTAATTTTTGGGGGTATTTGAGGGGATTTTGGGGAATTTTAGGGAATTTAATGGATTTGGGGGATTTTGGGGTAGCTTTTGGGGGACTTGAGAGGATTTTTGGGAATTTTAGGGAATTTCATGGATTTGGGGGATTTTGGAGTAGCTTTTGGGGGACTTGAGGGGAATTTGGGGAATTTTAGGGGGATTTTACGCTGGATTTGGGGGATTTTGGGGGGATTTGAGGATTTTTGGGTGGGTTTTGGGGCTTTGAAGTAATTTTTGGGAGATTTGAGGGGATTTCTGGATGGATTTTAGGGGATTTTTAGGGGACTTGGTGAGCTTTTTGGGAGGATTTGGGGGATTTTAGTTTTCGGGGATTTTGGCGTGGATTTCGGGGATTTCAGGTAATTTTGGGGGAATTTGAGAGGATTTTTGGGAATTTTAGGGGGATTTTATGGCGGATTTGGGGGATTTTGGGGTAGCTTTTGGGGGATTTTAGGCGATTTTTGGGTGGATTTGGAGGATTTTAGGATAGATTTGGGGGTGATTTGGACAGATTTTGGCATTTATGGCCTTTTGGGTGGATTTTGAAGCACTTTACGCCGTTCTGGACCAATTTTGGCGCATTCAGGATCAATTTGGGGCATTTTAGAGCATTTAAATTCAATTTTCACCACATTTTAAACGGATTTTACAGGGGTCGGGCTCTTCCGGGTGAACCCTGAGGCGTTTTATTGGATTTTGGGGCTGTTTTAGCACCAATTTCAGGCGGAATTTTGGATTTTTTCCTTCACTCACACTGAAAACAGCCCCGAAACTTCCGTGCCCGATCTCCCGCAGCTCCCCAAAAACCTTCTCGGGGTCATCTTTGAGGAATAATTCCGCAATTTCGGGGTCCCGGAGGTTCCCAGGTCGGCTTGGGGGACGAGGAGCCGGCATGGCAAGGGTGAAACTGAGGGGAAAAAGCACCAAAATCCACCTTAAATCCCATTTTTTACCCCTAAATTCACCCCCACACCCACCCCTACCCCTCAAACCCTCACCACTCCCTCAGGATTTCCCCGCAAATTCTCATTAGCGACCCGCAAAGTCATCCAAGCGACCCCAAAGCGCACGAGGGAGCCCAAAAAGCCCCAAAATTCCCTCAGGACCCCAAATCCCCAAATCCCCAAATCCCCAAATCCCCAAATCCCCCTCAGGCCGCCCCCCCCCCTCACCGGCGGCTCCGGCGGGCGCTGAGGGAGCCCCGGGCCGCCCCCCCCCGGCCGCTGCAGCTCCGGGGGGGGGCTCCGCTCTTCCCCCGACGCCTCCCGGAGGTGGGGGTGCCTCAGAAGTCCCAAAATCGCCGAATTTCACCTCAAAAAAGCGGCGGGGAATGAGGCGGGGGGGGGGGAACCCCCCCGGTGCCGCCTCAGCGCCCCGGGCAAGATGGCGCCGGCGGGAGGGGCGGGAAGCGGCGGCGCATGCGCGGTGACGTCAGTGAAGGCGAGGAAAGTCCGGGCGCGCCAGGAGTTGGGCGGGATGAACCAGCCAATCAGCGGAAAGGGCGGGAAAAAAGGCGTAAAGGGATTGGTTGGGAGGGGTAAAGAGGGCGGGAAGGAAGGAAGAGCGGGATTGGTGAAGATAGGAAGAGGGCGGGGCGATGAGGGGAGAGTCGGGATTTGATTGGTTGGGAGGGGAGGAGGAAAAGGCGGGAACACGGGGAGGGGAAGCAAGATGGCGGCGGTGGGGTCTGGGGGGGGGAGGAAGCGCCTCAGTGACGTCACTGCCCCGCCTCCAAATTTGGGAATTTTGAGGGAGAATTCAGGAATTTTTATGGGGAATTTTGAGGAGAACTTGGAGAATTTCTCGAGAGAATTTCGGGAGGATTTGGGGAATTTTTGGTGGGAATTTGGGAAAATTTTGTGGAATTTTGGGGGGAATTTTGGGAATTTTTAGGGGGAATTTGGGGGATTTTTAGGGGGAGTTTTGGGGAGGTTTGAGAAAATATTGAGGGGAATTTTGAGGAATTTTGGGAGAAATTGGGGAATATTCGGGGGGATTTGGGAATTTTTTGAGGGGAATTTTGGGATTTTTTAGGGGGATTTTTGGGGGTGTTTGAGGGGAATTTGGGTTTTTTTGTGATTTTTCCTGGGTTTTTTTTTTTTTTTGGAATCTGGGCTCAGGATTTAGGGTTTTTTTCAGGAATTTTGGGTTTTTTTTGGGAATTTGAGGTCGGGATTTTGGTTGGGGTTTTTTTTTTCAGGAATTTTGGGGTTGGGCTTTGGGATTTTTTGGGAATTTGGGATTTTTTTGGGGAATTTTAGGATCTCAACCACACCCGGCGCTTTCACCACTTCTTTATTCGCTCCAAAACCGCCCAAAATCGCCCCAAAATTCCAGAAGGTCCCAGAAAATTCCAGAAGGTCCCGAAAATTCCAGCGAGGTCCCCAAATCTGGGGGGGAATCCCCCATGACGTCATTGTCACCCGGGGTGTCCCCAAGGTCCCAAAATTGTCCCCAAAATCATTTTTGGGGTCCTCCAGGTCACGTTTGGGTTCCCAAAAATCTCTTTTGGGGTCTTCAAGGCCCTTTTTGGTGTCCCCAAAATCATTTTTGGTGTCCCCAAGGTCCCAAAATTGTCCCCAAGGTTTTTTTTGGGGTCTCCAAAGTTGTCCCAAAGATATTTTTGGTGTCCCCGGGGTCATTTTTGGGGTCTTCAGGCTTTTTTTGGTGTCCCCAAGATCCCAAAAAATGTCCCCAAGGTTTTTTTTGGGGTCTTCGAGGTCATTTTTGGGTCCCCAAAGTCCCGAAATTGTCCCCAAGGTCATTTTTGGGCTCCCCGAAATCATTTTTTGGGTCCCCGAAATCCCTTTCACTGCCACCCCTCCCCCTCCGCATCCTCCCCCTCCTCCTCCGTGACGTCACCGCCCGTTCCGATGACGTCATCGCCCTCCGTGACGTCACCGCCCGTTCCGATGACGTCACCGCCCTCCTCAATGACGTCATCGACCTCCGTGACGTCACCGCCCGTTCTGATGACGTCACTGCCCTCCTCAATGATGTCATCACCTTCTGTGATGTCACCACCCTCCTCCATGATGTCACTGCCCGTTCCGATGACGTCACCGCCCTCCTCAATGACGTCATCACCCTCCGTGACGTCACTGCCCGTTCCCATGACGTCACCGCCCTCCTCCGCGATGTCACTGCCTGTTCCCATGACGTCATCCTCCTCCTCGATGACGTCATCATCATCCTCAATGACATCATCCTCCTCCTCAGTGACATCACCCTCTTCCTCAGTGACATCATCATCCTCATCCGTGACATCATCATCCTCAATGACGTCACCCTCATCCTCCATGACGTCACCGCCCATGTCCATGACATCACCGTCCCTCCTCCACGACGTCATCCGCCTCCATGACGTCACCCTCTGCCTCAACGTCATCCCCATCCTCCATGACGTCACCACCCATTCTCATGATGTCATCCTCCTCCTCCGTGACGTCATCCCCATCCTCCATGACGCCACTGCCTGTCCTCCACGACGTCATCCGCCTCCATGACGTCACCCACCTCCTCCATGACATCACCACCCATTCTCATGACATCATCCCCATCCTCCATGACGCCATTCCCCTCCTCCATGACGTCGCCCTCCTCCATGACGTCACCAGCCATTCCCATGACGTCATCCTCCTCCTCCATGACGTCATCCCCATCCTCCATGATGTCACCCTCATCCTCCATGACGTCACTGCCCGTCCTCCACGTCATCCGCCTCAATTACGTCACCCTCATCCTCCATGATGTCATCCCCATCCTCCATGACGTCAGCCTCATCCCCCAAGACGTCACCCTCCTCATCCGTGATGTCATCCCCATCCTCCGTGATGTCACCGCCCGTTCCCATGTCACCGCCCGTCCTCCACGACGTCATCCGCCTCCTTGATGTCACCCTCCGCCTCAATGACGTCACCCTCATCCTCCATGACGCCATCCCCATCCTCCATGACGTCATCCTCATCCTCCATGACGGCATCCCTCTCCTCCATGACGTCACCGCCCGTTCCCATGACGTCACTGCCCGTCCTCCATGACATCACCCTCATCCTCCATGACGCCATCCCCATCCTCCATGACGTCACCCTCATCCTCCATGACGTCACTGCCCGTCCTCCACGACGTCATCCGCCTCAATGACGTCACCCTCATCCTCCATGACGCCATCCCCATCCCCCATGATGTCACCCTCATCCTCCGTGACGTCACCCTCATCCCCCGTGCCGTCACCCTCGCTCCCGGTGCCGTCACCGTCGCTCCCGGTGCCGCCGGGCCCCAGCAGGGGGTCCCAGGCCGCCCCCCGGCCCAGCCCGAGCCCCGCGGCGGCGCCGGGGCAGATCTCCCCCAGCAGGGCCCGCGCCAGCTCGCCGGGCTGCCGCGCCGCCCGCGCCAGCCGCGCCAGCTCCGCGCCCACGGCGGGCGCCGCGCCCGCCGCCAGCGCGCCCCGCGCCGCCCGCCGCGCCAGCGGCGCGCAGCCCCAGCGCTCGGCCAGCCGCCACAGCCGCGCCGGCTCACCCGGCACCGCCGCCGCCACCCACTCCTCGAAGGGCTCCACCAGAAAGCGCCGCGCCAGCGCCAGCGCCGCGCCCGCCGCCCGCGCCGCCGCCCGCAGCCCGGGGCAGCCGCCCGGCCGGCAGCCGTGCAGGAAATGCAGCAGCAGCAGCAGCGGGCGGCGGGGGCAGCGGCGCAGCGTCACCCGCGCCCGGCCGCCCTCCAGGAAGGGACCCCCCAGCAGCGCCGCCAGCGCCGGCGAGCCGCGGGACAGCGCCGCGCGCCAGGCGGGCACGGCCGGCGGCGAGTCCGGCACCAGCCACACGTCCCGCGGGC